TCTCTTCTCTTCTCTTCTCTTCTCTTCTCTTCTCTTCTCTTCTCTTCCCTTTCTCTTTTCCTTCTTGTTTCTCCTCTTCCTTCTCTCTCCTTTTCCTTCTCCTTCCCTTCTCTCCCTTTCCCCCCCTTTCCTTCTCCTCTCCCCTCCTTCCTCCCCCTCCCCTTCCTTCTTCTCCCCTTCTACCCTTTCTCCTTCCTCTTCCTTAGCCTTCTCTCTCTCCTCTTTCCAATTGCTCCAGATTCTTATAGAGAACTGGACTTACAACCATTCCTTTTAACGACCCTTTGAAGTTAAACAACATTGTAAAAAAAAAAATGAACGATTTTCACACTCAGGGCTGTTACCGCATCCCCATGGTCACGTGATCAACATTTAAATGCTTGGCAACTGACTCACACCCTCAAAACCGACGCTATGGAGCCCAGTACACCAGAACAACTTGACACAAGGACAGTTTTGACACAGATGACACAGATAGTCCTCAGCTTAGAAACACAACGGGGGCCAGAGTTTCCACCGCTAAAGGAGGCGCTTCTTAAGTGAGACATGCCCAATACTGCGATCCTTTTTGCCACGGTGGTTAAGCAAATCATTGCAGTTGTTAAGTGAATCACATGGCCGTTAAGCAAATCTGGCTTCCCTCCCATTGACTTTGTTTGTCAGAAGCTGGCAGGGAAGGTTGCAAAGGGACAGGGGTGGATCTTTACCTCCAGTGGCAAGAAGTTCCAGAGGTCAAGGGGCCATGGCAGAAAAATATCTTCTCCTGGACCCTGCTAAGCTAGCTGAAATTTCTTGGCTGATCAAGTCCAGAGCATGGTGATGTGATAGCCGTCTTCCAATATCTCAGGGGCTGCCCCAAAGAAGAGGGAGTCAAGCTGTTCTACAAAGCCCCTGAAGGCAGGGCCAGAAGCAACGGATGGAAACTCATCGAGGAGAGAAGAAACCTGGAAATTAAGGAGGGACTTCCTGACAATTCCTCACCTGTTCTTTCTCTTCTAGGTATCGGAGACTGTCACGAGGCAGCCCTTGACTTTGTAGCATTCCAACTGAAGTCCCCACGAAGGCTCCAGCGTCTCTATCGGAAGCTCACTCAAACTCCTCCTGGGACGCAGAAGAAGAAGGCCATCGAAGAGCTGCAGGTGGACCTTCACAGCTACTTGCACCAGCTGAAGAACCTGCATGGAAAGGAGCGAGCGTGGGATATGGTCCAGGTAGCCCTGGCCAAGATGAAGTTGGAGCACATTCTGAAGAATGTCCAGAGGAGTTTCTCTGTGGGTTTATGAGGCCCCCGCCCCCTCAGTACGGGGTTTATTATATCGTCATAAGATAGGTATCAGATGGTTGGTCATGGATTTATTTATTTATTAAAAAAAAAGATAGTTTTTTTAAATGAAAAATCGGTTTTCGAATCCTCTATTAGGTATTTGGTTTGAAGAAAAGGGGGCTGCGGAAAGGAAGGGTGGCCAGTTCGTTCAGCTTCTCTAAAATGTGGTCTACGTGACCGTGCGCAGACCGCACTAGGGAAACACAACAGACCCCTCTCCATCCTTGGACCAAACAGCTGCGTTCCAGAAGGAGCCGCCATTTCGGAGGGGCACAATTCCTAGCAGCTGCTCAGAAAATGGCGTCACAACTATAGGGTCCAGGGATGTTGAGTGGCCTTCCCTCCTTCTCCAACATAAGATCTGGAGATCTTCTGAGGCTCTTCTGGAGATCCTCTGAGGATCTTCTAGAGATCTCGAGATCTTCTATGAGACTTCTGGAGATCTTCTAAGGCTCTTCTGGAGATTTTGAGATATTCTGAGGATCTTCTGGAGGTCTGAGGATCTTCTGGAGATCTTCTGTGGATCTTCTAGAGATCTGGAGATATTCTGTGAGACTTCTGGAGATCTTCTAAGGCTCTTCTGGAGATTTTGAGATGTTCTGAGGATCTTCCGGAGATCTTCTGTGGATCTTCTGGAGATCTTCTGTGGATCTTCTGGAGATCTTCTGTGGATCTTCTGGAGATCTATGGATCTTCTGGAGATCTTCTGTGGATTTTCTGGAGATCTGGAGATATTCTGAAACTCTTCTGGAGTTCTTCAAAAGATTGGTCCTGGACAGGTGACAGGGTGTGGGAGAGTAGGTGGGGCCCGCTGGTCTGGGAAACAGGTCCAAGGCCTGCGAGGACCTGGTGGGACAGGATGGGAGGGAGATAGGGAGGGGAGGGAGTAGATGCTGCAGTGTCCCTGGGATCGGTTGTAAGGGCGAACAATCCCAAGGCTGCCATAACTTTGAAACATGGTCATAAATAATGTGTGTGTGTGTGTGTTTGGGGGAAATCTGCCCTAACTTTGAATGGTCACCAAGTGACCAGTCATAAATGGAGAACTACCTCTCTGCAAATGTCTATTTTGGGGGGAAATGCACATGTTTTGACCCTGTAGATCAGTGGCCCCCACTCCGACTTTTCAGGCACCAGGTTCCGTGGTATGTCCACGGGCCGTAGGGGCCGTGGTTTCATGGGCTGCCTGCATCCTGTGGATGGGGCTTTGCCTGGCCCGGTTTCTAGCATGCCGTACACCAGTGCCAGACCATGGATTGGAGGTCGGGCGACCCCTGCTCCATCAGGTTGAAGGTTGTCCAAGGGTTGGGAAGAACCCAGATCCTGTTGGGTCGACACGCTAAACTGCCCTTCCCTTCCGAGGTCATTATTATACAGCCCTATAATCCGTGATGGAGAACTTATGGCACGTGGTGTCAGAGGTGGCACGCAGAGCCCTCCCTGTGAGTGCATGCGCCATCACCAACTGCACTTCTGGTTTCTGGAATGCACATGTGTGCCAGCCAGCTGGTCTTTGCAGGCACCAGAGTGCCGGAAAAAAGCCGGAAAAACAGCCAAAAAAACAGGCCATTTTTGGACCTTTTTCATGCCATTCTTCAGGCTGTTTTCAGGCCATTTCTTGACCCCAAAACGGCCTGAAACGGCCCAAAAAAACTGCCTGAAAATAGCCTTAAAAAGGCCCCCAAAATGGCCAAAAACAACCCCCCAAAAGGCCTGAAAATGACCCCAAAAGTGGCCAAAAAACAGGCATGTATGCACTGGCCAGCTGGTCTTCGGATTTCCAGCGTTCGGCACGTGCATTCCAATTTGGGCACTCAGTGTTGAAAATGTTCGCAATCACTGCCCTCTGTCTAGGGATTAGATGGAGGGATTGTGTTTTTCAGGAATTAAAGTATTTTCAATTGATTTGCTTCTAGGAATTCAGTGTGTTTTTCCAGAATATGAATTTCTCAGGGGTGGCCGACCACCCCGAGAAACCGGGAACAGGCAGTCCTCGACTTACGACTATTTGCTCAGCAACCGTTCAAAGTTAACAACAGCACAGGGGGGGAGGGGGAAGCGGTATACATCCAATCCTCACACTTACCACCGGTGCAGCATCCCCGTGGTCACAGGATCAAAATTCAGGTGCTTGGCAACTGGCTCGTATTTATGACGGTTGCAGCATCCCGGGGTGTGTGTGTTTCACACAATTGCTATTTGTGACCTTCCCAGGGGGTGTTCAACAAGCAGACTCAAAGAAGAGAAGCTGGCTTAACGGCTGTGTGATGTGCTTAATGACCGTGCCGTTTGCTTAAAAATAAAAGTAGCGTAGTGGTCAGAGTGCAGTACTGCAAGCTACTTCTGCTGACTGCTGGCTGCTTGCAATTTGGTAGTTCGAATCTCACCAGGCTCAAGTCTTGACTCAGCCTTCCGTCCTTCCAAGGTGGGTAAAATGAGGACCCAGATTGTTAGGGGCAAGAGGCTGACTCTGTAAAACCGCTTAGAGAGAGCTGTAAAGCACTGTGAAGCGGTATATAAGTTTAAGTGCTATTCCTTCCTTCCTTCCTTCCTTCCTTCCTTCCTTCCTTCCTTCCTTCCTTCCTTCCTTCCTTCCTTCCTTCCTTCCTTCCCTCCCAGTGGTTAGAATGCAGTATTGCAGGCTGCTCTGCCCACTGCCAGCATTTCGATATGACTGACTGGCTCAAGGTTGACTCAGCCTTCCGTCCTTCCAAGGTTGGTAAAATGAGGACCCAGATTGTTGGGGGCATTAGGCTGACTCTGTAAACCGCTTAGAGAGAGTTCTAAAAGCACTGTAAAGCTGTATATAAGTCTAAGTGCTATTGCTATTAAGGACCACACCCCCAAAAGTTTGTAAAATTGGGTGCGGCTTACTTAATGACCCCCATTGCTTGCTGACAGACGTTTTTGATCCCAATTTGGTCGTAAATGGAGGACTACCCAGCTCTGAGAAATACAAATATTTTGGGGTGTTTTTGCGATCCTTTCCAAGGGCACCAGTTACAGGCAGCTGAACCGAACATCACTGTGTGTCTGTATTTCTGTATTGTAACTTCTGCGTTGTGCATGTGTCTGCATGTTTACGTTTCTTAGTCTAATCATGGTCTGTTACATTTCAAACAAAGATAGTGTCTCTACTTGAACTGTGGTGTGTGCCTCTTCCTTTTCAATGCAGGAGCTTCCGAGAAGTATTTTTGTGTTCAACCGCTTTTTTACATTCAGGGAAAGATTACAACAGTTGGGTAGCAAACCAAGGGAGGAAGTTGGATGGAGCAAGTGGTTGCAGTCAGCCCTGAGCTACGTTGAAGGTGGTTGGTCGTCTCCAGATTATGCTGAAGCTCCACTCCCAATAGCTGAAGAACAGAGCAAGTGATTTGGGGAGTTGTACCCCAAAATATTGGAGAGCCCCAAATATTTGGGGGATGTCTGATTTACTAGACCAAAGTTTCTCCATCTTTAGAAGAGAACATGAGTAGCTTGTCGCTGAATTGTGGGATCCTTGTGCTTTCTGAGCTGGGTGGCTTTCTTGCAGAAATTTCATGACCCAGTTAGGTAACATCATCAGTACTAGAAGCCGGATGTGTGTGTGGAGTGAGGAAGAGGAAGAGGAAGAGGAGGAGGAAGAGAAGAGGGAAGGAAATGGAGGACCATGAGGACCTCGGTGCTCTCTGAGAACATCATCAGTGCTAGAAGTGAATG